TGCTTCAACATAACTATTTCGTCTTGCACGTTGTTGATTATGATACTTTGTTCGAATTGTTTTTCGTTTACCAGTGCCCTCTTAGCTTCCCAAAGATTTTCAAATAATTTATCTATGTCAGGTTGTTGCCCAGAGTAATAATTTCTGATGTGATTCATTATAAGTTTGTTTTGTCTTGAATATTTTGGACTTTTTCTTGTGCTTTGTCCTTCTATCAGTTGATTCCATTTTTTCGTGTCTTTTTCCTCTAAATCACACATTTTTCTAAACCATTCTGATAATGTTGGTTTTGATCTTAAAAGTCTCTTAATAAATGCAGAATGATAAGACTCTGAAAAATTGTTTGTTCTGATATTTTGTAAGTATTGACACCACATAATAATAGGATACCTTGTATCCATCCAGGTTGACTCAAAATATTTTACAATTTTTTTACATTCTTCACTCTGATACAATTCATTTGTTTTGAGTTCACCAAATTCCAATTTTATATTTTGAGGTTTTAAAAATGGAATAACATACAATTTGTTTATAAGAGATGTGAAATTGTCATCATCTAGTTGAACTTTTATAAAACCACCTGTTTGAACTTTTCTCCAAAGTGCTTGGCAATAATGGAAATATCATCCTTTAATCAGACATTTAAACTGTTTTAAAGCATTAATAACGGCCATTTCATAATCAATTATAACAATTATATCTTTTCCAAATACGTCAAATCCAATATTTTGAGAAATTATATCAATTTCTTTAAAAAGTGAAATGTACATTTTTTCTTCAAAACAAGTGGTTAAACAATAATACATTTTAAACAATTCACCAGTTTTAGTGACTCCGTGCACTGTGTACAATTGTGAAAAATTTTCTGGAAACGACTTGAAAGTCCCATCCATTAAAAAATAACAAATTGATTTTATTTTTTTTGAGTTTGGAAATGTTGCTATAAATAACAAATTCTTGTGTTTCTATTAATTTGAATTCACCATAATTTTCATATAAATGAACATCTTCTTTTTGTTTTTCTTTTGCTTTTTGCATGTTAATTTTCCTCAAAATTGTACTTACTCTTCTGGAATCTTTGTTTCTGTCAATTTTATCTAATAATATAGATCCAGGAACAGATAAATTGTCTTTATTAGTTGCAAGTTCTTGTATTTTGTTATTAATATTGAGTTTGATAAACGGATAGTGTGGTTTGTGATCATGTTTAAACATTTCAGAAGTGTATTTGAATGAAATAAATTTTGTTTTATCACGTGGATCTTTAATAGCTTCGATTGTAACTTTACAATTCTTATCTTTACATTTGAAAGCGCAAGGGTTGCATCCAGTTTGGTGAAACGCATTATCATTAATAACAGGTAAATAACGTTGTCTTTGACTTTTTACAGACAATACAACTTCTTGTTCGTTGTTAATGTTCGTTTCAGGTTGTTGAATTGATGTAACACTTTCATTTTCTTTTAAACTGTCGAGAGTAGTTGGTTCGATATTTTCATCGGGTTCTATATTGTTAAACATGAATAGACCACCGGTTAAAGTATCATAAAAAACATTAGGTGTATTGGTCGGCATGTAACGTAGAAATTGGTTGGGTTGACCAAAAAAATCATTTATATTAAAACGATTCAATTTTTATTTAATTTTAAATGAATCGATTTTTACATTTTATAAGTGCGTGATATTTGTTTCTTTAATTTAATCAAAATGGTTTAAATATGAATGATAAATAAATTAAAATAATTAATTATTTTTTAACTTTTTATTTTTTGCATAGAATGAGTTTTCCATAATGAGTTTACCATTTAAAAAATACAAAAAATAATTATTTTTAAGAATGAGTTTTCTAGAATGTAAATTGTACAGAATGAGTTACCCAGAATGGATTTTCACCCCACCACAAATTAACATAATTTTATATTGTTAGAGTTATTTTGGTTTTTAATTATTCAATTATTTAGTTGATAAAAATGAAAAACTAGTTGAAATTTGATAGTTTTTTAAATTTGTTTTGATTTGTGTTCAATAATCAACTAAAATAGTATTGTTTTGGATTTTAAAAAGATTCGTTCAAACATAAAACTGAAAAACTGAAAAACTGAAAAACTGAAAAACTGAAAAACTGAAAAACTGAAAAACTGAAAAACTGAAAAACTGAAAAACTGAAAAACTGAAAAACTCTAAATAATATAAAAACAATATTATAATCAAAAAATAATAACATATGAACCTTTTAGATGGATTTCACATTATGATAATTTCGAAATACTTTTCTTTTTTCCAAGACTTCATATCTCTTGAATTGGTATGTAAGAAATATGCTTCAACTATGTCTAAGTTTCATTACAACCCAATTCCTCTTACTCGAAGTAAACTGATTTTTTTCGAAAATTTAGAGACTTTAATTCTATGGCCACAAAACAATTTTTTGGCTTTTAAACACTTGACATCATACTTTTACAGGGAGTTTTACCGCATTATTGTCTACGAAGAAGTTGACTACAAAACTGCAATGAACGTGCTCGACATGTATTCTGAAAACAAATTCCAATCAATTAAAAATACTTGTGTTCAAATGCACTCTATAATATTCAAAAATGTTGTGTACACACAAAAAGACAAAATTGCTTTCAACAGTCATTTGTCCGATTTGGCCACCAAAATCGATGAAAAGTGCTTTTTTAGTGAACGAGAAATGAAATCCATAAATATACCAACTACAGCCACGTGTATTAATAACGAATCTTTTTTTGATGTACTTCTCTCAAGTCTTTTATATTTCCATTGTCACTGAGACGAATATGTTGTGATAAGTCCTTTGCTGAATGTCGATCATTAGTCGAGGTGGTGTTCGCAAGTCGACTCACCTCTATTGGGTCACTATGTTTTTATGTGTGTTATTCTCTCACCTCGGTGAAGTTCCCGAGACATTTAAAACCTTCTATCAAAAATTAATTGGAGCTTTCCAAGACTGTCAAAACTTAAGTTGTTTTAAAAAGCCAAGTCGTCTTTTTGAAATAAGTTATGAGGCTTTTTCGGGCTGTCAAAAATTATGAAAACTAAATATTCCCAAGAATGTCGAGTCACTTAAAAGTATGTGTTTTTTCCAATTGTAAATCTCTTTCAAAATAGTGTTAGTATATGGTTTGAAAAATATTAAAGAAAATTGTTTCGATGGGTGTATTTCATTGAATACAATAGAAATTCCAGACTCTGTGACTGAAATTGGTTGGCAGGCCTTTGCCGAGTGTACACAACTCCAAAAAGTCGTGATGTCAAAGTCACTCACCACGTTAAACAGAGAAAATTTCAAAATTATTTTTCAATGACTGAATTTGAGTTTTTGTATGGGACTAAGTCGATAAAAAGTATTCAATCGTTGTGTATAATGGATTGGGGGTTTTAATGTGTATTGATATACATGAGGGTGTAATCGATATTTTAGATAATAATTTTCTACGATGTATGTCTCTCTCTGAAATTACTTTTCCATACACAGTCGAATCATTTGGGGTTCAAAGTTTTTATTGTTGTTTAACTCTTGAAAGTATTGAACCATCAAAAAACATAAAGAAATTTCAAGTCTCATGTTTTGAAAATTATTGTAAATTGAGTGTTGTACACTTCCCAAAAAGTTTAACAATGATTGGAACACAATTTTTTGCTTCTTGTGTTAATTTGGAAAAAGTGGAGGGTATAGATGGTATGGTAATTGTCGATCCTTTTGCTTATAAAATATGTGAAAAACTTAGTTCTATTATATTTATAACTCACTTAAAATTATTCTAGATAGATGTTTTGAAGCATGTATTAATTACAACACGTCGAAATGCCCGATGAAGTGACCCATATCAGATATAATTGTTTCTTGAACTGCACTTAATTAAAGAAATTAAAGATACCAAGTGGTGTTCAAAATATCAATTGTTTATTTGGAAAAAAAGAAAAATAAACACGAAAAATAATTGAAAATAAAATACATATATTTTTTAATATTATATTAATACCATATAAATTTTAATATTATTTTATTATTAAAATAGTATATTTAACTATATTATTTTAATTTTACATCATATAACAACAATTTTATTTCGACAATAATAGAAGACTAAAATAAAAGAAACCGGCACAATTTCTTGAATGACTACTTAATTTGAAAAGTTTCTGGGTGTTTCATAAAGAACACTTTTGATTAAAAAAAATACAAAAAATATAATAAACTAAAATTTATCATTTAAATTTCTTTTTAATTTCTTCCAAATTCATCAATTTTAACATTCTATTGATCCTCTTAATAAGCCAACTTTTGTGATCAAATTCAATCCAGTCTTTTGGAAACATATATAAATTACCAATGTAAGCACCCAATACAGCTCCAACAACTGCCGCATTTGTGTCTGCATCTCCCGCTTCATAAGTTACAGCCATCAACACACTTTCGAATATTTCCTTGTCACCTTTTCCATCATTTTTCATTATTTGTGCCTCTTTGATCCCTCACACCGCACATCCAACTGGCTTATAAGAATATCCAATCAATTTATTCAACTCAAGTTGTTCTAAACTTTGTGGATTTGTGAATTTATCGAAATCAGAATAAAACTCTTTGTTGTTTTCTATGTACTTTCTTCGTCTTTCTCGTGCGAAATTGATGGCTTTTTGGCAATCACACTCGCCTCTTAGAAATTCCCCAATTAAATTGACTATTATAGATACAGAGGCCTGGCATCGTGGGTCGTAGTGATTCACTTTCCCAAAGGTGTTTGCAGTCTCTTCCACCTTTTCGATATCCCAAAAATAAAAAACCGTAGCAATTGAAGTCCTCATCACACCCCCATTAAAAGCCGCTTTTTTTTCTCTTTCCCAAACGTCCATCGAATTTTTGATGGACGTTTTGTTAAAGTTTTTAGACGACAAAACACTTCGCGTGTGGATGCCAACATCCGACGGCTTTATATTGCCGACTTCGGAAACCCCGAAATTGTACCAATAGAGACAACGTGCTGCAAAGTATTTTGGAACACAATTTCCATTGTTTGCTACTAAAGAGTCGAGTATTAGAAGCGACTAATCGGTGTTGTCAGTCCAGTCTGCATATTTCCAGCCGATATTCATTTATTTGGAACCTTGAGTAGTTTTTATATAACATGAAAATGTGATTTTCTCGTGTTTATAAATCAATTCGGCTTGTTATTTTAAAAGAAATTCAGATGAAATACCAACAGCGTCGCCAACAGCTTGGCCTAGAATTATTAAAATTGTTTTTGAGCGAATGTTTTGAAACTTTTTTGGAAAAGAAAGAGGAATAAATTTCTTTGGCAATTGATTTGGATATTCAGTGAAAGGAAGATGGCGGTTTAGGCATTTCATTTTAGCATATAGTAGTGCCTCAGGTATTGGGAGACAATGTCTTGATTGTGTTGGATCAGCAAAGACGTTCTTATTGTATTCATTATATTGAATTAACATGGTTACGTGGAATTTATAAAAGAAGAAATCTAATTTTTTGAAATTTAAAAGTTAAATACCATTTCATTCGATACAATTATCAATTTATAATTCAATAATAACACTTTATATTAATTATTTAAATAATAAAATATAGTTTCATATTATCATTAATATAATAATTTTATATTATTTGATATAATCAAAATACCAATATCATTCATTAAAATCAAAGTTTGTAAATAATTGGTAAAATTGTTTTTTTTTGATTTAATTTAATTAAAAAATTATATAAAGTATTTTGGTTAAATTAAACTTTTATAAAAAAATGAAATTGAAATTGTTCAGATGACAATAATCAAAAACGACAACGGCAGGATTTGAACCTACGCCTCAAATGAGAAATGATTTCGAGTCATACGCCTTGGACCACTCGGCCACATTGTCTTCTTATACATATTTTTGTGTGTTATTTTGTTTGAAAACAACATGAGATGTTATTTTTATAACTTACACTTTCAAATAAGTGTAATATTTTTTGTTTTGTTTCACAAGTAATATACAATTATAGTGTGATTTAGTTTTGTTGATCAGAGTGTCCAAAGAAACAATATATCTTTAATTATCATATTGTTTTATAATATCACCATTTAAATAACAGTAAAAACTGGTTAAATGATGAAAACTCCAAACTATAATCTTATTTGTCATATTTAAACACTCTGGAAAGACGTAAATATATTATAGTTCTTTTCACTTTATATTACAGTTCTTTAGTTCAAGGTGTAACAATAAACGAAGCTCAACGGTATCTTGACATTTGTCGAAATTTACATTTATCGGACATGACATTTGTCGAAACCCTGGTGACATTTGTCGACAATTCTTTTGAATTATTTTTAAAAATAATTAGAACCAATAACCCATATAAAAATCCAAAAATATAATTGCCACTCAAATGTTGATGCAAAAATAACAAATGATGTGGCTTCTTGTGTTGAATCCCATTTTATTGTAGACCATTTAAAAACAAAAAATCAAAAACATAAAGAATCACTTAAACTATTTATGTTGTAATAAAAAATATATTATTTGATAATTAAAATACATCATATTTAATAATAAAACTTAATAAAATGATTTTGAATTGAAAAAAAAGAAATATATTTATGTATTCAAATTTGTTTAATATTATAAATACATAAATAACTATTAAAATTAATAATTATCCGAGTGCATTTGGTAAAACTTGAATATAAATATATTTAAAGGAATATAATCGATAACTCTAAAATATAAATTTTGACATCATAACTAAAAATACAACAATATTAATTATACAATCATAAAACGTTCATACACCATGTAAAAATAAAATAAATAATTATATTTAAACTGTTTTAACTTAAATATCACAAAGATGAGTCGGCCACCTCTTCGGTTTTTTGATGAATCAAAAATTTCAGGACGTCTCAGGTCTTCACATTTTTTGCTGTGCATAGGAAAGATTTGTTATGTACAGAGGAG